CCGGGGGGAGGGGGTAAATTTTTTTTTTGTTTGAAAAAATAGATTTTTTTTAAAAATGGGTTAGAACCATTTTACCCAAACCATATTTGACCAAATTCATATTTACCCATATTCTATTTAGGTGGATTGTAATCCAAACATTTTTTGTTCAATCCATATTCAATACATTCAAATCCGATCCAATCCAACCATTTGTCACCCCTAGTTATACTCCCCACAAATACAAAAGCAGGTTCAGATATTGGAATTGCAACGTCAAGAATGAGATACACAACTCACGTGAGATATGTTAAAGAATGACAAAAGTCTCACATCGATAGTTAATGAGATGGGTGTACTCCTTATAAGATTTGGGCAATCCTCTTCCCTTTGAGCTAGTTTTTGGGGTGTGAATTAGACCTAAGACATAATTTAACATAGTATCAGAGCAGGCCCCGTCTCACTCGATGTTGGGGACCCCAAAATCAAAATTGCCCACGCTCCAGATGCTAAGCACTGGCGTGAGGTGAGGTGTTAAAGAATGACAAAAGTCCACATCGATGGTTACTGAGATGAGTGGACTTATAAGGCTTTGACAATCCTCCTCCCTTTAAGCTAGCTTTTTTTCAAAGGGATAGCTTTTGGAGTGTGAGTTAGGCCTAAAACCTCATTTAACAAGATATTTTCCTTATCATATTAGGTTAAATGCAATTTTGTAATACAATTATGAATCTTATGAAAATTCTACATCAGTAATTCACGACCTTTGACTAATTTGCTCCAACACAACAAACAAGATGGATTTGTAATAAAATTATGAATCTTATGAAAATTCTACATCAGTAATTCACCACCTTTGACTAATTTGCTCCAACACAACAAACAAGAAAGAAAATAATAAAACATAAGAAAGGAGATATGATAATGGAAATGAGGTGAAAGGTAACATAAGACAAACATGAGCAAACTTTTGAAACCTATCATATCCATTCCTTAGGGTTGATACAAGCATCCAAGAGTTTCCATTCTTCCGTACCTTCCTCTGGTCGCTGCATTAAGCAACAACAATTAGTTGATATCGAGTGATGTTTTCTTGTTTTCCTCCTATCTAAGAATACTACCAATAAATTAGATAGCAGAGTAAAGCTTACGTGGCCATACTCCCATCGTGCCGTTAATGGAAGAGATACAAGAATGCTCTCAATCCTACCTCCGGTCTTGAGACCAAATGTAGTTCCACGGTCATAAACCTGCACTTACAAAGCAAAGAAAAGGGGTTAAACAATAATCTTTGTAGATAGGCAAATAGGAACTAAGGGAACAGAGTATTTCACCAAGTTGAATTCCACATAGCGGCCTTGCCGTAGTTGTTGCCATGCTTTGTGTTCGTCTGTGAAAGGCGTATTCTTCCTCTTCTCTATGATAGGTATATATGCTGGAACTACGGAATTTGCACACTCTACAACTCCAAAACTGACACATCAAGGAAGGTAATTTATCCATTCAAGCAAGTAAAGAAATTTCCAGTGCTTGAATTAACTTTAACGCAGAACTAATTATTTCAGGAAAACTGAAAAATAAAATATAATTTAGTCAAGAAATGTAGTTTCCAGCACATCAACAACTCTTTTTGCAGCACCTAGAAATATGTTGTCGCCTGTCGAACTAACAGACGTGATTTTGCCTTTTGTGCGTAAAAGTAAGCTTGTCTATGACAAGTTGACTGCTCTGTTTCCTCCATTAACAAAGATTATTTATAAGCAGGTGTCGTCTTTCACACCGTTTACCTGTTAAAAAGGAAAGAAGCATTTCTTGATCATAGTCGTTCAAGTCATCAAAAAATATTCCTCCAAGACCTCGTCTCTGTTAGAATATGCACAACGGAAGCTATATTCAGGATCACAAATCTTACATATAGACTAAACAATATAACATAAACGAGTTTAGAAGAATACTAACCTGTTGAATCTTCCACAAAAGTCGTCCAGATGCCAAGGATCCAGAGCTACGATCTTCTCCTATTTCCTGATTGACTGTTACTCCCAAGATACTTGTGTGGGCAAGTATTATTTGTTTTTCAAAGATAATTCCTTTCATGCCACATCCAGCCTATTTATCTAGTTTTCCAACTCAAGAATGAATAAATAGGAAAAACGTCCAAATAAATTTCAGGCTTAATGAGCAATCAAAAGGATCATGAGAATCAATTGAGATAAAAAA